AGCGCTCCCCCTCTGCATCTCTCCCCTCTGGGACGAAAGAACCACGTGCCAAGCGCACGATACCGAAATCCCAGCAAGCGCGATTGACAGCCCTACCAGCGTACCCTACGCTTGAGTTCCCAGTCACAGCCCCACGTCGCCGGGAGAGTACGAGATGGAAGACCGGCTCGGCGTCCTGAGCGTCGGGGCGCAGATTAGAACCGTTGCTCGTGAAGAGGGCGTGTGTTCCTTCGACTTTACCGAAGTAGTCGCGGGGAATTAGCCACTTCCGGCATCAGCGCTGCAGAAGGAAAGGCCCCTTCAACACGCTCGGACGAACAAGAACAAAGGAGGACGGAATGTCCAAGAAGCACGAGATCATCTTCGAGACGGACGGACGGCACTCGAGCGTCTACCTGTACGAGCCGCCGATGGGTATCCGGCAGTACGTCGAGCCCATCGACGAGGTGCTCGACCTGGGAGTGGACACGATCAGCTACGTCGTGAGGGGACTGCGCGGTCCTGCTGTACGACACGAAGGTCGGGGAGATCTGGGGTCACAACTACGACCTCATCAACCACGAGGTGTGGTACAAGGCCGCATTCAACTGTCAGATGATGATCGAAGCGGCCACGATCCGCTTCAGGTCGTCTGCGACCACGCCCACGAGCGCGGGTTCAATTTCCTTGCGCACCTGCTGCTTAACATGGCCTACACGCCTCCGAGCCGCGTCACAACGGTCGCGTCGCCACCTACAACACCCTCCACCCGGAGTGGATCGTGGGCGAGGAACCGGATTACCCCGAGGCCGTTCACGATAACCCGAACCGTATGTCATACGCCGTACCGGAGATTCGCGAGAACCGGCTGGCAATCGTCCGGGAGCTGGTGACCGACTATCCGACGGACGGCATCGACCTGAACTTCAACACCTACATGCCCGCTGATCGCCCGCCGCGAGGTGGAGGAGCACACGGAGACGATTACCGAGTGGATGCGGGATGTCCGCCGAGCGGCAGACGCCGGCGCCGGAGGCGCAGGGGCGCAGCAAGCGCGTAGTCGTTCGCATGGCCGCCACCGTGGAAGGCAACAAGAAGATGGGGCAAGACATCGAGGCGTGGGTAGGCGAGGGACTGGTGGACACGATTGTCGCCATGCCTGTCGGCGGGGACTTCTCCAGCGAGACGTCCCGGCTGCGCGAGCTGGTCGAGGTGGCCGAAGGGAACGGCGTGCCCGTCATCGCGGGCATGGACGCCGTCGGCACCGACCAGACGACGGCTGACGCATAGGGCGGCGACGGTCAATGCCTATGACGCCGGAGTGAAGGGCGTCATGTACCACCGCTACTATCCGCCCCCGCACGGTATCCGTACAACACCGAGGACACCGACCGCATGAGGCTGGCGGCCTACCCCGATGTCCTGGCCCACAAGGACAAGACGTTCTACGTCGGGCCCGGCTTCGACCGCCGCGACGCCATTTCGTTCGGACTCACGGACCAGCTCCCGCACGAGCTCACGGCAGGCGAGCAAGGCCCGGACATCAATATCGACGTGTCCGACGACATCGCCGCGAAGTATGAGGCGGGCGAGCTGTGGCGGTGCGAGCTTCGAATCATGCTCCATGAGCTGGTGCACCACGACGAGTATCGGGTCTACTGGAACTGCGAGGAGGTGCCGGAGAGCAAGATACGCAAGGCGGACTGGGTGTTCCAGATGCGTCCGAGCGCGGGCGTGCGGGGCTATCGACTGCACATCGACCTGCGAAACGTCTCGCTGCCGATCAAGGGAACGAACACCGTGCGCGTCGATCTCATCACCAAGGACGAGCAGCTCGTCGATCCCGTCAGCATCCACGACATCGACATCGTGGTCGAGTACCTGCCGCACCGGAACGCGCTCCGCGACGAGGAGTCGTACGCAGGGGCGTCGATACCGTTCACAGCCGTAGCGGCGGATCGGCGAGGGGAATTGAAAACGCAGCGAACAAACTGGGATAACAGAACTACCTTTATGATAATTTGGTAGGCGTTGTCGGGCTAATCGCGACAGTGATCGGACTGGGAATAGCAATTTGGCAGATCATCGGTGCAAGAAGGGCAGCTGAATCGGCAAGAAAAGCGGCATCGGCCGCCCAGAGGGCAAGCGTTGAAACGCGAGAGGCGATTCACGGCGTATTGACGGTTTCGGACCTGCAACGGGTCATAGGGTATGTTCAGCAGATCAAGAACTTTCACAGAGAGCAGAAGTGGGACATTTGCTTGAACATGTACCAAGTGCTGCGGTCGTCTCTGAAGGATATCCGTGCTCGCCTGCCTGAGCCGGCGGCGCAATATAGGCTGGTCTTGCGAGAAGCGATTGACCAGGTGAATGCTATAGAGAACACTCTCGACGTCGCGGTTCGCTCCGGGTCGGAATTTGCGGCGTCCGAGGACTTCAATAGCATTCTAAACGAAGTGCAGGCTAAGCTCGAAGAAATGGTCAGCAGAGTTCAGGTGCAGGAAAGCGAGGTGAGTACACAATGACCAAGATCGAAGAGATCCTTGAGAAGCTCAAACAGCTGTCAAACGAAGGAAAGATTACCTGGCGCCCCACCGTAAATCGGTCGACGTTTTCCGCCGTGTTTGGCGACTCCTCGGCCCTGATCTCGAAAGGGGGATTCATTTATACTCTCAGGCTTCTGAATGAGTCGGGCAATGAAATTGGACGTATAGATTCAGACGCTCTGACGGACGATCCGAATGGAGACACTACAGCCATGATCTCACTCTACGAGTCCCGCCCAGCGGCAAGTCCTGAACGTAGACGCGGAACTCGAAAACGTCCTAGTCGAACTGAACCAGCTTTAGCTCGCGCGGCCCCTTCGAATGCAACTCAAGATCACCGAACAGCAGAACAAGGGCCTCTTCGCCGACTGCACGTTGGAGGAGCACGAGCGACGCATCGCGCGGCTCCGGGAGGAGATGGACCGCGAGGGCGTGGACGGGCTGTACCTGACGCAGGAGACGAACGTCCGGTACGCCTCGGCCATGCAAGACGTGGCGTGGGTGATTCACGCCTACTTCTACACGGTCTTCATCCCGCGTGACGACACGCTCCCGTCGGCGCTGTTCGTGCCGAACGGCGGTCAGATACAGACGCAGGCAAGCTGGATCGACACGGTCGTTCGCTGGGACTTCCCGCCCGGCTTCTACATGGGCAGGGGTCGGCGACTCCCTGATCGAGTCGTTCGCCGAGTGGCTGCGAAAGCTGGGACTCGAAAAGTCGACGATCGCGACCGAGATGAGCGCCCATTTCCGGCTCGGCCTGTCCGTCGACGTGCTCGACGGCCTGCGAGACGCTCTCCCGGACGTGACGTGGCAGGACTGCGGCCCAGTAGTGTGGCCCGTGCGGTCGATCAAGTCGGACGAGGAGGTTAGGCGTCTGCGCGAGTCGGTCAGGATATCGTGTCTCGGCATCGAGGCGGGGTTCGAGGAGCTCCGAGAGGGCATGTCCGAGCGGGAGCTCGTGAACGTGATGTGCGCCAAGATGTTCGAGGAGGGCGGCAGCGAGATCAAGTTCACCTCGCTGTACGCGGGGCCTGACCGCGTGCTGTGGGCCGACGCGACGCCACGCCGCGAGATGAAGATCAACCCCGGAAGCCTGGTCCAGTTCGACGGCGGCTGCACGTATGACGGGTACTACACCGACATCAAGCGCTTCGCCAGCCTGGGCGAGCCGACCGAGGACCAGCGGCGGTTCTACGACATCGCCCGCGAGGCGGAGCAGGCCGCCATCGACGCCGTCAGGCCCGGCGTGACCTACGGAGAGGTGTATGAGGCGTCACAGCAGGCCATACGCGACGCAGGATACCCGGAGTTCGTCGAGCAGGCCCAGTCGTTTCGGTGGACGAGCATCGGCCACAACATCGGGCTCGACCTCCACGAGATGCCGGGCATCGCCAAGGACAACGCCGCAGTGCTCCAGCCCAATCAGGTAATCTGCGTCGAGCCGTTCTTCTTCCACGACGGCGGCTTCCGGTCTGGACCGTCCCGAACAAGTACGGATGCGAGGACCAGGTGCTCGTCACGGAGACGGCCACGAGGTGCTCTCGTCGGACGATCTGGTGAGCCGGGATATCTGGGTGGTGTGAGGGATGAGGGAGGTTCTCGTTGAAACACCCTATACACCTTGGTAATAGCACCCACGACTGGGAGACCTTTCTCGGTCTGCTGACACTGCACGGGGTCGATGTCGTCGTGGACACAAGAAGCGCGCCCGCCAGCAGGCGAGCGGCGTTCGCCAACAAGCGCACGATGCCGGCGCTCCTGGAACAAGAGGATATGTCCTACGTCTACCTCGGCGACTCCTTGGGCGGCAAGCGGTCCGACGACGACCTCTACGGGCTGGACGGCAAGCCGGACTACCGCAAGATGCGGTCGCAGCAGAGCTTTCAGCAAGGGATCGACGACGTCCTCGAACTTGCGACGAGGAGGAAACGGTCTGTCCCATGGATCGGAGGAAGACCCCTCGAAGTGCCACCGGCGTTTGCTTATCGAGCCTGCGATGCTTCAGCGCGGCGTTGGGCTGATGCATATCAGGGGGACGGATCGGTCCAGCACTCGGATAGCCTTTCGAATAACAAGGCGTTTGCAAGACAGTCCCAGACGATGCTGCCGCTGTAGGGCAAAACCTTCGCGGACTTTAGCCTTATTTGATACACTGCTGTCACCACGAGACCGGGCAATCGCGGAGGCATGAACTAGAATGCTCTACCGGTCCTCCAAGAACGTTAGGGGCGGCTGCGCTGGCCGCGCTGCTTGCGCTGGCCGTTTTCGCCTGCGCTCCGGGGCGAGACACTCCTTTGATTTCGTCCGAGGAGTTCGGCACTCCGACACCTGTGCCGACACCTACGGCGACCAGGCTCCCAGAAGAGGCGGTCGAGATCGCCGGACGGCGCACCAGCGACGCGCAGACGGCGCTCGACGTGGTGGGCAAAGACATCATCAAGATCGCCCAACTGGAAAGAGGGCGGTCCGGCCATGCTCAACAATCTCCTCGGCTACTTCATGGTGTGGGGCTACGACTACACCGTCGAGCTTGTGGAGATGGAGCAGGCCGACTACCGGGATGCCATCGAAAAGGGAGAGGTGGACCTCGTGCTCCACGTCGACACCGCCGACGCGGATACGGCCACGTGGTTGAGCACTGTAGTCGAGAGCGGAACGGTGATGGAGGGCGGCAAGCCGATCGCGGCTAGCAAGAGCGTTAGGATCGCCGTACATCCCACCATGTCGGAACGGGCGCCGGACCTGGTGAGTTTTCTCGCAACCGCAAACTTGCCCCGGCGAGGCTTTCGCGAAAATCGCCGGCATTGTCCGGTTCGGGCGTGTCGGCGTGACACCGAGCGCAGGGGCGTTCAAGTACCTGAAGGAGCAGAGCGCGGTCTGGAATTCGTGGGTCTTCGGAGGAGGAGGCGTCGAAGGTCCAGGCGGCCATCGATGCGAGCAAGACGTCGCTCCGGAACCGGACGTGTATTCCGCGCGGCGTCGAGGCGAACGACTGCGGGCGGAACTAGCGTTGCGTCGGCTGTAGGCAGGCGTAATCCAAACCCCATATGCCTCATCACCACTGGATACCGGCCCCGTATCGGCGTACGAGACAAGCTCTTCGCGTGTATGACGTTTGTGGATAGACCTTCCAGTCGAAACGCGCCTCGACAGGCTCAGTTTGGAGCGTTGTGAAAGCCGTTTCCGCACTGAGCGACGGGATTCGGCTTTCGCGCGATTGACAGGTTTGTTTCGTTCGCATACCCTTGCAGCGAGTCGAGGAACCGGAGCGGCTGAAGGGGTGCTTTTTCCCGGTCAAAGGTCGGTCGCTCCGCATAGTTAGGAACACTTTGAGGGAGGTGAATCGTGAAAGTCCCAGTGGACATAACGGTCAATGGGCGCACGTACAGCGATGAGGTCGAGCCGCGACAGTTGCTCGTTCACTTCATTCGCGAGAACGCCGCGCTCACAGGTACCAAGGTCGGGTGCGACACGAGTCAGTGCGGGTCTTGCACCGTCACGATGGACAGGGTCAGCGTCAAGTCGTGTACGACGCTGACGGTACAGGCTAACGGCTCGTCGATCACGACGATAGAAGGGCTGTCGGACGGTGTTGATCTACATCCCCTGCAGGAGGCCTTCTGGAATATCATGGGCTCCAATGCGGGTTCTGCACTCCGGGAATGATCATGGCGGCGAGCGAGTTGCTGCGCATCAACCCGGACCCTTCGCGAGAAGAATTCCGGGAAGGGCTGGAGGGCAACCTCTGCCGATGCACCGGATATCAAAACATCGTGCTGGCCGTCGAAGACGCAGCACGAACGATGGGAGGCTAGACCATGACGACACGAATGTTCGGTTCAGGAATTCGTCGTCGTGAGGACCCCCGGCTCATTACGGGCCGCGCCTCGTACACGGACGACATCACGCTTCCGGGCATGGCGTACGCGGGCGATTCTTCGGGTCTTACGCTCATGCGAACATCACAAGTATCGACCCGAGCGAGGCGAAGTGCCAGCCGGGGCGTTATCGCCGTCTACACCGGCAAGGACATCGAGGGGTCATCTGAACCGATTCCCTGCGCGTGCTCATCCCCGACTCCAACCGATCACGCCGGACCATCGGCCATCGCAAGGACAAGGTCCGGTACGTGGGCGACGCAGTGTAGCGGTGGTGGTGGCCGAGAGCCGGTATCAGGCGGAGGGGACGCGCTCGAACACACGCGTGGACTACGAGCCGACTCGCCGCGACGATCACGAGGCGTACGCACGAAAGACGGCGAGACGAACGCGGTCCCCGACCGGACGCGCGAACACATCGCGATTCAGTGGACTGGTCGCGGGCGGAGAGATCGACGAAGCGTTACGAGAAGACGTCGCTGTCGTCGGCCGACACGAACAACTTCAGCGGCTGATCCCGAACGCCCTGGAACCGCGCGCAGCGGCATCGCCCAATACGTCGCGCCGACCGGAACCTACATGTGGGGGACGTTCGCAGAACCCGCACATCGCGCGATTCCTCTCCCGTGGTCACCGGAGTCGGCGGCACAAGATCCGGGTGATCGCGCCGGAGCGGTCGGCGGCGGGTTTCGGAGCAGATCCCGTACTAGCCGACGAGGCGATACGTCGTTCTGCGCGATGCAACTCGGCGTTCCGTCCAAGTGGACGAGACGAGAAGCGAGAAGTACCAAGGCAGCGGACTCATCCACGGCCGCGATCACGGCGAAGAGAGATCGAGATGGCGGGCCACGAATGACGGCGATATCCTGGCGTCTACGGACTACGGTCTACGCCGGACTCGGCGCGCGTGAGCCGTACCTGTTCGACGGCGGCGCCCGGACAGTCCCGACGATTCTTCACGCTGATTACTCAGTGACGTCGTGGTGCGCATGACCACATCCCGCCGTATACGGGGACATATATGGCGTATTCACGAACGCCGACGTCGACGCCTATCGCGGACCGGAAGGCCACCGGAGGCGACGACACTGGTCGAGACGCGCGTGGTGGACCGTTTGCCGCGGCGACGGGGGATCGACCGTGGAGGTCCGCGACGCAACCTGATCGAAGCGTTCGAGGAGACCAAGACGTTCGACGCAGCATCACGTACGACAGCGGCACTACGAGGTCGTCTCTCGACAAGGCGGCCAACCACATCGGGTACGACGCTCTGCGCGAGAAGCAGGAAGCGATGCGAGCGGAGGGCCGGCACATTGGTATCGGCGTCTGCTCCTACGTGGAGATATGCGGGCTTGGTCCATCGCAGGTCGCGGGAGCGGTAGGCTTCCAGGGCGGTCTGTGGGAGAGCGCAATCGTGCGGTTCCACCCGACCGGCAAGGTGCACGTGATGATCGGCTCATCGCCGCACGGTCAGGGAGAGGAGACGACCTTCGCCCAGATTCTCGCGGGGGAGCTCGGCGTCCCTGTGGACGACGTGGACGTGATCCACGGCGACACGGACAATACGCCGATGGGCTGGGGCACGTACGGCAGCCGGACGACGGCGGTATCGGGCGCCGCGATAGCGATAGCCAGCCGCAAGATCAAGGACAAGGCAAAGACGCTGGCGGCCCACCTGTTGGAGGCGGACGCCGCCGACATCGAGTACGACGACGGCAAGTTCTTCGTCAAGGCTCGCGGACGAGCACACAGACGATCCAGGACATCGCGCTGATGGCGAACGTGGCGTGGACATGCCGGAGGCATGGAAGCCGGGCCATCGAGGGCGATGCGCGTGTCTACGATCTCCGAACGTTCACGTCCCGTCGGGACTCACAACTTCGCGGTCGTCGAGCTCGAACGGACGACGGGGCACATCGAGTTGAAGAAGTACGTCGCTGGTTGGACGATGCGGCGTGCAGACAACAACCGATGATCGTCGAGGGCAGTCGTACATGGTGGCGTCGTGCAGGGCACGGGCCAGTGGGTGAGCATGTTGTGGTGGAAGGCGCGGTGTACGACGAGGACGGCCAGCTGCTCACAGGCTCGCTGCTCGACTACGCGATGCCACGGGCAGACAACTTCCCCGATATCGAGGTCCTGTCCACGACGACCGCGTCGCCGCACCACCCGCTTGGGGTGAAGGGCATCGGCGAGGCGGGGACCATCGCCTCGACCGCGGCGGTGTACAACGCGGCCATGGACGTGCTGAGGCCTATGGGCGTCAACACCATAGACATGCCGCTGACGCCGGCAAAGGTCTGGCAGGCGATCAACCAAGCAAGCACAGAACGGAGGGTAGGCCATGTACGCAACGCAGACCGAATACCACCGAGCCGGCTCTGTACAAGAAGCCGTATCACTCCTCGCCGGGAATGAAGACGCAAAGGTGCGGCGGGCGGGCACAGCCTGATCCGCTGATGAAGCTCCGGCTGGCCTCTCCGGCGCTGCTGGTAGACATCGGCCACCTGGGAGAGCTCAGCAGCGGAGTGACCTGCAGCGACGGGACGATCACGATTATCGCGCTGACGACCCACGCCACCATCGCCTCGTCGGACATCCTGAGAAGCGACTGTCCGATGCTGGCCGAGGCGGCGGGCATGATCGGGGACCCGCCGCTTTACAACGCAGACTCGCGGCCACGAGTGGGGGCAACCGTCGCCCACTCCGACCCTGGCCTCCGACCTGCCGACGCGTATGGCTCGCGGCGCTTGGCCGCGAGCATCCCATCGTAGCCGTGGGGCGCCAACGCAGCGATTGCTGCGTTCTCGGCTTCGTCATGGCCTGATGCAGAACCATCTCGCTTCCGACGAGATCATCACGAGCATCGAGGTCAGCGCCAAGCAGGCCAACCAGGGAATGGCGTATGCGAAGTTCTCGCACCCGGCATCCCGGTACGCCGTCGTGGGCGCTGCCGCATCGGTCACCGTAGAGGGTGGCACGGTCACGGCGGCCAGCGTTGCCGTTGGCGGCGTCGAGGCTGCTCCGACCATGGGCAGTTCCGTCGCGGCCTGTCTTGTCGGCAAGGAGCCGACGGACGCTGCGCTCGACGAGGCCGCCGCAGCCATCTGCAGCGACATCGGGGACGACGTGCTGAGCGACATCTTCGCCTCGGAGGACTACCGCAAGGCGATGGCCGTCGTGTACACGCGACGCGCCTTGGGCTGCGCGGTGGAGTGCGCGGGCTAGGCCGACGCTCACGCCGAATAAGGGCTTCAACAGGGGGGCGGGGGTAACCTCGCCCCCCGTATGTTTGAGCAGGCGACACGCAACCGGAGAGGAACGCTTGACCAACTCGAACTGAAATGACGTGACCCGTACCAACCTCGGCGTACGATCTCCAGAAGGCGGCAGAGAACAACCTGTACGGTCGCGACCGCAGCTTGGCGATATCGCAGTCTACTTTAAGCGCTGAAGCTCAGGCGTCCGCTGTTCCTGGAGGGCGAGGCGGGCGTGAGGCAGACGGAGCGCCAAGGTGCTCGCCGCGGCGCTCGACACGCAGCTGATCCGGCTGCAGTGCTACGAGGTCTGGACGTCAACCAGGCGGTGTACGAGTGGAACTACTCGCGGCAGCTCCTCGAGATTCGGATGCTGGAAGCATCCGACCGATTCAACGAAGGCGAGGCGGAGCAGGAGCTGTTCAGCGAGAAATTCCCTGATAAAGCGACCACTGCTGCAGGCCATCGAATCGAGCGGTGACCGGCCGCCCGTGCTGCTGATCGACGAGCTCGACAGCGCGACGAGGAGTTCGAGGGAATCCTCCTGCTGAATTCGCTCTCGACTGTCAGATAACGATCCCGAGATCGGCACGTTCCGCGCCGAGAATCCTCCTGTTTCATTACACAGTCATATCACGTCCCAACCGGACGCGCGAGATCTCCACGATCGCCTGAAGCGGCGCTGCCTGTACTATTGGATCGACTATCCGGACTTCCAAAAGGAGGTCCAGATCGTCACGAGCAAGGCCCCGGACGCTCCGAGGAAGCTGGCCGAGCAGGTCACGGGCATTCGTGCCGGAGCATTCGCACGCAGAGCTCCTCAAGGTGCCCGGCGCCGGCACGGAGACGCGCGCCTGGACGACGGCGCTCGCTGGGAGGCATGGACCAGCACGAGCTCGACCCCTCGATGATCGACGACAACTCTCGCATCATGCTCAAGTACACGTGAGGACGTGAGAAGGCGAGTGCGGTCGGGAGCAGACAGCGGGCGCTGCTGCAGACCAAGCACTGTGAACCGGGGTGCGCGACGTGGCGGCAGGCGTGGCTGACACGCAGGCCGGCCACATCCTCCATAATCTGCTGCTGTTCGGGCGGCTTCTCCGTACGCTCTGTGGTCGGACGGGTGCTCACGTAGGCGGAGCGGATGCTCGACGGTGGCTGTCAGCGACGACATCGGTCTCGCTCAAGAAGGCGACTTCGCGCACGCGATCGAACGCTACTCGTACACGAGACTCGAATTTAGCCGTTCGACGAGGCGTTCGACGTCTTCTGGCGGCAGCCGAAGGACCCGCAGACGACGATGGACCTGCGGTCGATGGGTGAGCAGCGCCGGTTCCGTCAGCCGCAGGTCGGGCCTCCTCCGCCCGCTCGTCTAGAACCGGAACGGACAGGACGGGCTGATGACGAGTCCGACGAGGCGACATCGACAGGATCGACTGACCGCACCTTCAGCGCTCGGGAGGTGCTGCGTCAGAAGAGCTCTCGCGGACTACGACGACGGATGAGTTTGCTCGTCGCCAGGCGATGATCGAGGAGCGCGCAGTTGGAACCTGGACGTACGCCGCACCCGCGCTGGGGTACGCGTGGAGACGGCAGGCGATCTCGATCTCAGACGGCACTGACGAGCAGCCTCGATATGGTGAGAGCCGATGGTAACACCCGACGAAGCGGCGACGAAAGACGACACCGCGCAGGCTGGTGCTGATCTGCGGACGTGCGCGGCGTCGATGGCCGCGTACACGCGTCGATGCTCCTCGCATTCATCCCACGCTGTAGCGGCGGTCGGACACCGGGTGGAGCGTTCTGTCGCACGAGGCAGACCGCGTGACGGGCCATACTCGACTATCGTGACATCGACGCGCGGTGGGCGAGGCTCGATGGCGGTGCCCGACTGGTCGGCGGGACGCGCATCGGACATCTCTGACGACGTGCAACGTCCGCGTGGGCACGGCGTGTTCTCGAGATGCGTGGTGTCTGGTCAAGCAGACGCGTCGGGACCTAGCGGCTCTGAGACGGATCGCTCGGCGGGAGATGGCCCGACCTGCAGCGAGCAGCCCACCAGGCTCATATGGCTCAACCCGCTCGCGGCGACGGAGAACTCCGAGTCCGTCGATCGCGCGGATGCGGCGGCGATGCCTTATATCGACGACTTGCTGCCCATCACAACCACTCGGCGAGCCATGGAGACCTCGCGCGACACCTCAATACGCTGCCCGGCAGCCGCCCAGAGAGGAGGCAGCGATCGTCCGCCGGGAGATAGAGGACGATTGTACCGGCGCCCGCGCCGTGTTACGGGGATCATCAAGGCATAGGACGGCAAATCCGACGTTCAGGCACCCGCTGTGGGGGCGGGACGGCTGAGGCTAGGTTTCGGAGGCGCGAGGGTTTCGATCTATCGGTGCTCCGCGGGTTAGTTGCTCGTTGTCCCATGTGACAAGGGGGAAGTTCATAAGCAGGGCCAAGGCGACATACACGGCATCCGCGCCTCTGAGCCGCATACCTGCCGCGACAGATGCGCTGACATCAGCTAATTCCCTGTCGATAGGGATTAGTTGAAAGGCAGGCAACTCACTGATGACCGTAGAGGTCATTCGTCCCAGCTCTCCCTTCTCGTGCGACGGGAGACGGCCCCGGAGATCTCTGCCAAGACGTGGCTAGGGCCGAGAATGGGAATGCCGGCATCCGCTTTCCGGGTTATCCAATCCGGCTCGCCAAAGTGGGTCGCCTCCGTCTGCATAAATAGTTACCCAAACGCTCGCATCGACGACGTCTTCGGCCATGGAGACCGTCATTATCGATGCCATCCATCTCGACGAGGGCGAAGCCATGGCCTGGGGCTGTCGGAGCGACGCCGGACGGTGTAGGCATGCTCGTCGAGCTTGCGCGGTATGCTGCGGACGTCGCGCGCGCGGCCAGCTGCCGCTGACCAATGTGAGGAGGATGCGGTCGGCGAGGGTCTCGACCGCTTCGAGGATGTGGGACGAGAGTGAGTATGGTCTTCCCCTCGGAGCCAGCTGACCGTCATGAGGTCGTGGAACTCAATGCGCTGCGGGGGTCGGTGTCCATTTAGCTGCCTCATCCAGGAGAAGCCACGTCGGGCTGATGCACCATGACGCGGCTGAGTCCTCATTCTCTGTCTCATTCCCCGGTGAGTAGCCTGTCGAGCTTCCTGCCCTGCGCTCGGTCATTCCCGCGCGCTCGATGGCGGGTCGGCGGCTCGCGACGGCGGTCACGCCGTGCAGCTTGGCGAGAACTCGACGACTCGCGTCCGGTATAGACGCCGTAGACGCGTCCTCTTTCTCTCATGTCTCGGACATGACGCCGACGCGACGTAGAGTCGGGTTGCCCGGTGGCGCTGACCGAAGATTTCGACCGATCCGTCGGACGGGGAGCCAGGCCTCGATCATCTTGAGCAGTGAGGGCTTGCCTGCGCCGTTCGGTCTCAGACGACCCGTGACGCCCGGCTGGATTCGAACGAACGTCGTTCACTGGCCACGACGCTGCGTACACTTCGAGATGTTCTTTGCCACGCGAAACGACGGACTGCTGTCTGCTTCGGTCATATCGTCAGTCTCCGGTAGCGGAGGATCAGGAGCCCGCCCGGCCGAGACGAGGAGCGCGTACCAGGCTATGGGCAGGAGGTGTGCAGTTCCCTGCGAACCTCCGCTATGTCGTCCTCTCGCTCCCGCTCCCGAATATGAATGTCGCTCATGTGTATAGGATCACGACCGAGCATCGAGCAGCGTGACCACTTGGCCAGTCGCCCGTCGTCTTTCGCACTCACCAGGTGTCGCTCGACTACCACACCGTTGACGATCGTTTGACTACCTTCGCACGACGTAGAGGCCGAGAGGCCGCCGTACCGGCAGGGAGATCACGACCGGCGATGACGACCGCGGCGGCGTAGGCGCGCCGCGTTGTGTGAGGCTGACACGGCCATGGGGACTAGGTGTCACGAAGAGGCAACGAGTGCGGCGGCCAGGAACTGGTATGTCGAGCCCGTTGTCGCGCAGGTAGTCGGAAACCCGGATCGCCGGCGGTGAACAGGAAGCCCGAAGAGCAGGAGACTGACCAGAGTATGCGCAAGATGAGAGAAAGGCCCAGAAAGCGACCACCGGGCCGCGACGTAGTCTAGGCGGTGAGCGGGGGCGGACGAGATAGAGTGTTTATGACGCCGCTCCGCCGGTCGGGGATTAGGAGCTCGGGGGCGATGATGGCAGAACAGCAGCATTAGAAGCGAATGATCTCATAGTAGTCCTCGTGGGAGGGATGATGTCCTCTTCGGGCGAGAATGGCCGCCAAAGGACGAGATTCCCCCTGCGGGAGCGGTGACGGAGATGAATAACATGAGAACCGTGGAGAAGCTTTGCGTGAGCGTGCGCCCTGCGAGTCCGAGGTGGTGCGAAAGCCGTTGCACCCAGCATCGGCCAGACGGCGCGGAGTCGTGCCGCCGCGCGGCCCGTCGTAGTGCGGAGATCCGATGTCGAGATATCTCGCCCTGCGCCTGTGTCATTTCGATGCCCTCCGAAAGATGTCCGACACAACGTGCCCGCGCTACTGGGGCGAGCCTGCGCAGGCAGGGCATCGGCGTCGACGAATGGCGTCGCGGATGTCGTCGACTGCTCGTCGCTCTGTCGCATGCTGTCACACGACTGCGGCGATCGCGGCCTCGATGCCGCGGCCGTTGAGGTCCCTCGCAACCTACCCACCCTTCGTCGCTTCGCGCGGGTCGTCCCCGTCGATGTAGATGGTCTCGGTCGGTCTCCTGGGTGAACTGCGAGTACGGTACCACCCTGCTCGATGCTCTTGCGCCCTCGATGACGATGAGCGTCGCAGGTGCTTTCCACGCTCGCCCATGAGTGGACGAGAGCACTGATGCTGAGCCGAACTCCTTGCGTGCGCGCTGTATGAGCCGTAGCAGCTCCTCGCGCCTCGCGGGTCGAGCCTGCGGGCTCGGTCTCGTCGAGCAGCACCATGACTGGTAATCGTGGACGAGTGGTTGCCTGGGCGAGTCATTGACGCGCTGCTTCATGCCAGGGAGTACTCTTTGATGTGGCGGTAGCGCTCCTCGTCGCTAGGCCGTACGTGGCGGAGGATGTCGGCGGCGCGGTCCTGCTGGTGACAGCGGACTGCCGCTCATCTGGCCATGTGACCGAGGAACTCGGATGCGGTGATGCGATCGGGAGACAGTGGTGCTCGGGCAGGTATCCGAGTCCGCACGCGCACACTCGACGTTTTCGTAGTGCTTTTCGCCCGAGACCATCGCGGTGCCGGAGGTGGGGAGTGAGAGGCGAGGAAGAGCTTCATGGCGGTGCATCTGCCCGCGCCGTTGCGGGCTCGAGTCAGGCCGGTTATGCCGCGAACACCTGGATGTCTACGGAGTCGAGCTCGTGGTGTCGCCGTAGCGCTTTCGTCGAGGTCTCTTCGCTCTCGAGAAGCGTGCTGCAGTGTGCTCCGGTCATACGCTCACAGGTCAGCAGTGAGTGAGTCAGTATATCATTTGGGCATTGGGTGTTCCAGGTGTTTCTGGGTTCTAGGTCTGGATTCCCGTGCGCGGAGCCTCTTGCGGTACTACCTGTCATTCGGGTCGGGGCGAAAGCCGAAAGCGAGGCCCTTTGTGAACAAGCGGAGGCACCTGCAGCTTAGGGCTGTTCACCCTCACCCCAACCTCTCCCGCGAACGGTAGAGGGGGTTGACGCAAAGGTCTCCCCGTATCGGGTACGGGCAGGGACCTGTGCGCGGAATAACATGTCGGCGAAGGACCCATACGCATGGCGTTGGGGTTACACGCAGAGGCGCTGGAGCGTCGGAGGGTGTTTTTGGCTTCTGATTTCCGCGTTTCGCGGGATCACCATGGCCTTGCGAGCCACATAAGGGTGAACACGGTTGGTGCCGGAACGGCAGCCACAAGGGTGCCCCTACACAAACAGGTTTGCCGCAGTCTATCCTCATAAGCAATGACTGATGTGAGGTCCGTGTCGTTCATTTTCGTACCGATGACGCGGTGCTGGCGCACCTTGTGTATGAATCTGTGGCGTAGTCAAGGCGATTGTAGCCATAGCTTGCAAGACCGAACACTCGCCAACCGGACTTGCAGGTGAGGGCTCATTGCAAATTCATTGGCCGCATACTCGCCCTGTCTATGCTGCTCGCAGTCACTAGTCGGTGTGCACGTACGGACAGCTCGAGAATGCCTGTGGCGAAGTGGCGCCAAGAACATGAGTCGGAGCCTGTCCCATGCACACATCACACACACGTTAATGTGGTTCGAATGTACCCACTTCTGACTATGCGTTCGGCATGGTTGGCACTTCTGCTTATGGCAACGGCGAACTGTGGACAATGTATGCCCGAGGAAGGGTAGTTATGTCAGCGCCCGCGCACCCGTGTGTTTGGTCAGTCCCGACGGTCGCTGTCAATGAGTGGCCTTGTATCTAGAGCACGGCATCAAGGTGAGACTGGAGATCCAGGGCCGATAGCTGACGCACACTTCGAACCGTCGTTGAGCGCTAACCCCTCCCCAGGTCCTGTGAGATCGATCCCGGTCTCCATGCAGGCGCCAGTACCTTCCAAGTGAGCTGTTGGGAGGTCACGGAAGAGTTGCGGTCGACGCCAGCCTCACGTTGTACACTAGTGCTGTATTTTTTAAGGAGGACGTTGAGTAGACCGAGACCCCATGGAATAACCTGACAATTTCCTGACATGTGTGACATTCCCTTTTCCTTCGAGTTGGATGTATGAAGAAGGCGTAAGGTCTTTGCCGCAGATTAAGTGCGCGTCCGAGGTGTTTGGTTAGCGCAGGCGAGTTGCCGTGCGGACTGGCGCCTAGAGGCGGACGCGGTGTTTTTTGTCCTGCAGTGTAGGCCGGAACGGTGAGAGTGTGGCGCTTGCGGGCCTGAAGTGACGCATGACTGCGCCGTCGTAGCATAGGAGGGCTGTGTCACGCCCGTGCGCGAGGCGGCCTCTTCCGGTGGGAGAACGCGAAACGGGGACCATCGCCGCGGTAGCCACTTTGTTCGGGAAGGACTCGTGGTCCGCGTGAGGGGGTCAAGACCTCCGTTTCTTGTAGCTCGTGCGTGGTCGCGGTAGTCTTCCCATCCGCAGTGGACGCACCGGGGGAACCGGTCGTAGAGATCGAGCGGGCCATCGCATCTCGGGCAGCCGTGGAGGGCTACGGGCGAGACCATATGTAGTGGATTGCTCTGTCTTGGCATAGAACAAATGTACATGGCGCGAGGGCTTGAAGTCAACTTGATGATATGTATAGTTAGTAGAACTACCCATTTATAGGGAATCATAGTTGGGCCGGGGCGCTCGTGTCTGAGCGAGATCGAGGAAGAGATGACCAAGAAGCGACAGGCGAGCATTAAGATCGGACGCCGATCAGGCAGGCGAGGAAGCTGTCGGGGCTGAATCAGCAGGAGGTTGAGGCGGCAGATCGGCAAGTCTAAGAATGCGGTCTCGCGGTGGGAGCGGGCGGAGGTGCAACTTGACGCGACGGACCTGGGGAAGCTGGCTCGGCTGTTCACGGTGTCGTTTCCGCCGACTGGCTTCTGGGGATCGATGACGAGGTGGAGATGAGCGAGGTGGAGCTGGTGCGCGACTACCGGCTGGCATCGCGCGCCCTGCGCGCAGCCACTCTCGCAGGGTTGCAAGCAGGGCTACGGATGGAACGGGATCCGTCAGGATAATTTCCCTAATCGGCACCCCGGAGGCGGACTCCTCGGGCACGGTGAGGGTGATTGGTATGGTTATTCGCGTGGTCTTCATGGGTTGTGTGAAGAACGTGTGTTCTTATGGAAGAATACCACGACTGGGCGAGGGGCGCAAACCGAGAATGGCAGGAGACCTTTGGTGCTTACCGGCCGGGGCAGGCTCTTCGCCGATATGACGGTTGCGAAGGAACGTCGGGGACGGGCGACCACAAGGGTCGCCCCTACGACAGGTTTGCTGAGGCAAATTCGTATAGTAAGGTCAAGAGATGTCCCAATTGCCTAGCGTGAGACTCGTTTGGACATGATGATGTCGGGTTTGCCGGGGCCGTTGGCGTCGGGGACGACGCCGGTTATGACGAAGCCCAGCTTAATTGTAGAACTCGTAGGGGTGGCCGCGCAGGTTCCGTATTCGCGCCACGTGCTCCCATACGTTGGGATAGAGGTCGACTCCCGACAGGGTGGTCATGGCCTCGGTGTCGTCGGTCCCTAGCCTGATGGTGATGCCACCTCGCTGCCGTACGAGGTCCTCGAAGTCGGTCACGAGAGCACGCCCTATGCCTCGGCCCTGCAGATCGGGTCGAACGACCAGAGGGTGAATCTCCCAGACCCGACCGTCGTATTCGGGCTGACCGCCGATAAAACCGATCACCTCACCCATTTCGTCCACCGCCACACGGCTTATCTTTCCCCTCCGCAAGCGTCTCGCGCGCCTCTTCAAGGGCGGAGTCGATGGTGGGCCAAGCATCGGGAGCCATCCCTCGGAATCCCTCGACCATGAGATCGAATTGTGGGGGTCGAAGGCGCGCATGTCGTCGGGCTGCTCGCCCGTGCCGATGTAGAGGACGGGGAGGCCAAGCTCCCTGGTGTGGCGAGGACGATGCCGCCCTTGGCGGCTGCCGTCGAGCTTGGAGAGGAATGACGCCGTGGCATTCGATGGCCTGGGTGAAGGCGGGCCTGATGGAGTCACGTTCTGGCCGGTGACGGCGATCGAGGGCGAGGAGGACTCGGAGGCTGGAGTCGGACGTGCCTCGAGCGACAACGCCGCTGATCTTCTTGAGCTCTCCATGAGGTGGCGTCTTGGTGGTGCGGGAGCAGGCCGAGGGCCGGTATCGACGATGACGACATCGGCCGTCGCGGCTCTGGCGCGGAGACGGTGTCGAATGGACGCGCCGGGTCGGCTCCTCACGGTGTGAGATGAGATTACGTCCACGTCGAGGCGCCGTCCCCACGTCGGAGCTGCTCGGCAGCGCGGCGCGGAAGTCGGCGGAAGCAGCCGATGGACGACCTGGTGCGTCTGGATGATAGAGGTTGGTAGCTGGCGATGCGGTGGCTTGCCGACGCCGTTGACGCCGACTACGAGGAGACGAGGGACAAGCGGTCGGCACTCGAGCATGGGTACGCGTTCTCGACGCGGAGCATCTCGACCATCTCGCGTTTGAGGATGTCGAAGGCCTCGTCGGGGGAGGAAGGGCGCTCCTCACGGAGGCGGTCGACGAGTTCCATGGTGGACTCGACGCCCACGTCGGCGGAGATGAGATATCTCTCTCCAACTCCTCCCACGAGTCCTCGTCGACAGGTCGGGTCCTCGGAAGAGGATGCGACGCGACCCGAGCAGTTCCGCGCGGGGTCTTCTCGGTGGCGCGCCTGGTGTTCTCGGCGTCGGTCTCGCGCCGGCGGAGGAATTTCAGCATGGGGAGCTTTCACCCTCACCCCAACCCTCTCCCGCGACGGGAGAGGGGGCTAGGCACAGGTCTTGTTTCGCGGGGATTACGGATGGGGGATGCTTTCTGAACGTGAATGCGACTTTGAAAGAGTTCGACGGGTTTACTATTAACGACTGAAGCCTTCATTCACGGCGATTACTATCACGACCACCACGAACGCGATAAAGGCAAGGAGCAGGACACGAAGTAAGACCGCGAGCGATGAATATCATGGCGGCGATGGCCCGCCCGTGGAGACGTGGTGTGGTTTGCCTGTTAACGGCGAATCACGGAGAGGACGATCGTCCAGACGCCCACGCCGGACCCGATCAGCCCGGAGGAGGCCCTGTCCGAAGGTGTCCAACTGGGGAGAGGCCATGAAGGTGACGTGGAACGTGTGACACGGCGGCAGATAGGCGAACCCCAACCGCTGGCGGCGAGAGACCTCCCGTAGACGATCCCCGCCCGCCGAGGATCGACTCATGAGCCAGCAGATTGCGGTGAAGAAGGCGATCCGACTACGCAATAGCAGGAAGTGGACCACCGACGTATGTGAGAATCCTGAAGGGGTCCCCTGCAGCCAGGCGGCGTCTCGTCGAAGTCGGCCGTCGAGCGCGCGCCGCGCCCGGCGATCCCCTGCGCAGACGGTATCGACGACCGAGACGATGAGCGCCTCCCAGCCGATGGGTCGCAGGCGACGATGGTCCGCATGGTCGGGACGGGTTGAAGATTACGCCGCTGATGCAGGTCTCGAGGAAGCCTTGGTTGCGGACTGTCGTTGGGTGGACATGTACGTGCTTGGTGTTGGGGACTGCGGGGGCTTAGAGCTTTGGGTCGGGTAGGAAAGTATAACCACCAGTACGCCAGAGAGAGTGCAGCATCAGGGCGAGTCTATTTGTGTCTCATATAGGCCGACGCTATTCGTAGGTTCTTCCGCGGCGATGTGCTCAGCGCTGCAGCGGCAAGGAATCCCGAGCGTGATTCGCTTGACCTTGCCGCGGCCTCGTCGACGAGCGCCACGACACGCGCAGGCAGGGTGATGTTTAGGCGAACGGCTTTGTTCTCGATGGTAGAGAGTCGACGTCCACGAATCAGCATGGGCGATCCCGGGAGGTAGTCTCAATTGATGGTGCTCGCTGGATTTTTCCCCGCGTCTCGTCTGGGCAGCGTTCCGCGACATGAACAAGGTCTCTATATGGGCCCGGTCGAGGCTTCTTGCTTGGCGCTTGGTCAGCGCCTCGTCAACGTGTCACCACCGCCTGAGAAGCAGCCAGGAGGTCGAGTACCGTACTTACTCCGTAGCTGCTGCCCTCGTCCTTGTGAACACTACGTGAATCGCAGCAGCAGTGTCCTCCATCGCCCAGGGCGCTTGCCGGAAGATGCTCCGAAGCGTTCCTGCGGGTATGTCCTTCCGAGGATGCTGTACAGTAACCACTCCGGGCCTTTCAGGGTGTATGAAGTGGTGATGGCTCCCGGTCACGTTCGGAGCTGTCCAACCAGCTTCGACGCAGCCTCCGCATTGACCGCCCTACATCTATGTGTATATACTATACCCACACTTCATTTGAGCGGTCAGGGTAATGGGGCTCGTAGCATACACCCAGCCCACCCGCCTAGATGATCACCGGTCGTCGGAGCGGAAGGGAAGGCTTTTACGGACGGGGCGACGACGTCTCACCAGTGGGCATCGGCCGCTGGGGACGAAGAAGAGGTCGCCCCGCGCGTGGCAGGTGACGCTTGTAGACCGTCTGGTCGGTTATGACGACCTCGCCCTCGACGACGTAGATGAGTCTCGTCCCAGGTGTATCCCAGTTGAAGGAGCGGGGCTCGCACGACCACACGCCGGTGGCGAGTCGCTTGTCGTCGACATGCAGAGCAGCTGCCCTTCGCGACGGGTTGCATCGGTGATCGCCTCGTCGGGGAGTGTCCCAATCGTCCAACTCGACATCGAGCGACGGTAAGCTTGGGATGCGGGCTGTGGTGGATACCATGGGTAGGCCTCCTGCTTGGGGTGGTCGTATGATATAGGGCGGGTGGGTAAGTCAAGGGGAGAGAAAGTAGAAAGTATTCGTAGAAAGTAGGAGAGTATTACGATATCGTGGATGTGGTGCTTGGGTTTTGCTATGCTGTATGGGGTGGTTTTTTGGCGGAGTTTGGAAGAGAGGGTGAGTTCCGATGCTGGATAAGGTTGTGCTGGACAAGCTCGCTACGGTCGAGCAACGCTCTGAAGAGTTGGAGTTGAACAGCATGGCGGAACCCGAGGTCGCGGGGGAGTACTCGCGGCTTAGGGGGTCATCAGGAGCACAGCTCGCTCAGGCACATCGTGGCGCTGTTCCGTGAGTACCGAGGGACGATCGACGAGCTGGAGGATGCGAGACCCTGATACGAGAGGAGAACGACCGTCAGATGGCCGCGCTCGCCCGCGAGGAGATCGAGGAGCTCGAAGGCCGACAGGGTGAGATCGAGCAGAACCTTCGCGTTGCGCTGATTCCCAAGGACCCGAACGACCAGAAGGGCGTGATCGTTGAGGTGCGCGCGGGCACGGGGGCGAGGAGGCGGGCCTCTTCGCCGCGGAGATGTACAGGATGTACACGCGGTACGCGCAGCGCCACAGCTGGGGCGTGGAGGTCATCAGCAGCACGGAGGACGGGCTGGGGAGCATTCGGGAGATCGTCTTTCAGATCGACGGCAACGGCGCGTACAGCCGTCTGAAGCACTGAGAGCGGGGCACGCACCGAGTTCAGCGTGTGCCGGTGACCGAATCGAGCGGACGCATTCACACGTCGGCCACGACGGTCGCGGTGCTGCCGGAGGCGGAAGAGATCGACGTCCAGATCGACCGGACGACTTGGAGATCGATGTCTTCTTAGCCGGCGGGCACGGCGGGCAAAGCGTGCAGAAGAACTCGACGGCGATCCGCATCACCCACAAGCCCTCAGGCATGGTAGTGTGCAGTGCAGGACGATGCGCTCGCAGTTGAAGAATAAGGAGAAGGCGATGGCCGTGCTCCGATCTCGGCTGCTGGCGCAAGAGGTGGAGCGACAACAGGCGGAGATTCGCAGGACGGAAGTCGCAGGTGGGTACGGGCGACCGGTCGGGCCGAGTGCGCACGTACAACTTCCCGCAGGACCGCGTCACCGACCACCGGGTCGGGTACACGCGTCACAACCTCGAAGCGGTTCTGGACGGGGAGATCGACGACATCCTTCACCGGCTGGTCGAGGCGGAGCAGGCCCGGAACCTGGAGAACTTTGGCGCATGAGGTGCGGGAGCCTGGGTGGCGCTCACCGGCGTCTGGAACGGGCCGACATCACTGACGCTGATATTGAGCGCAGGTGCTTCTCCGCAACACGCTTGGAATAGACCGAGCGACCTTCCACGCCTCCCCGGACCGCGAACTGAGCCACGAGGACGCAGAGGCGTTCCATGGCACCCTTGAACGGCGGATCGAGGGAGAGCCACTTTCTTACATCACGGGACACAGGGAGTTCTACGGTCTCGATTTCGTCGTGACGCCGGACGTGCTGGTGCCGCGACAGGAGACGGAGTTCCTAGTCGAGGCAGTGTTGGGGTATGCGCGGAGTCGTGGGCGCGACGGGGGCGATCTGACGATCGCGGACATCGGAACCGGGAGTGGGGCGGTCGCGGTCGCGCTGGGGTGTCATCTTCCGAACGCGGTCGTGTATGAGCGACAGGACGTGAGCCGTAGGGGATACGTGCGCGTCGCGAGACGAGAAGTCGCAGAGCACGGACATGGCAGGTCGAGTCCGCCTGCGGCAACACGCGATCTGTTCGAGGCGCTGGACGGACCTGTGGACGTGGTAGTGTCGAATCCGCCCTATCTGAGCGACGACGAGGTAGCCGAGCTTCCGCCGGACGTCAGCGCGCAGCCGACGCTGCCTCTTGCCGCCGGACGCCCTGGACGGGATGACGCGTGCTGCGCAGGTTGATAGTCGGAGCGTGGAGTACGAGCCCGCGAGGCTGTGCATTGGATGATCGATCCGCGGCTGTGCTGAGGCGAGCACCGATCTGGCCCGCAGTACTTTCCATCTGGCAGACGTAAGGTTCGTGATCGTGAGAGACCAGGGGTTGGACAGGGTGGTGACTGGTCGGGCTGCGATAGAGAGCTGCAGGCTTGCAGGCGCGCGAGCTGCAGACAGCCTTCGATGCGCGTTGCGACGACCGTAGGCGAATTCAAACAGCCACCCCTCTAGACCCCGGCCTTCGACGAGTGACGTGACGGTGCAGCCTACCGAGCCACATGAGACTACCCTCCAACTGATGCAATTGCGCATGCGCATGTGATCGGGAGTATCTATCAACCATGGATGCGCGATGTGCACGTGACTGCGAGAGAGAGCCGCACTTAGGAGTCACAGCCATGACAGTGCCTGAAGACGGGATCGAGCAAAAGTGGACGTCCGGACTAAGTGAAGCATGAGGGCTCGAATTTACTCCTGGCGTCGCCAAGAACCTACACCTGCTAGGGATACGCTGGAATGGACGCTGAGCAACGCAGTCCAGACAGGAAGTGCCGGTGGGCCCGTACTACCTGGACATTCTGGCGAGAGAGGCCGCGAGGCGTCTGGTAGCATCGAGAACCCGTTGGAAGAGAGGACCGACCTCAGCCATCTCGGCCAGTTGCTCACCTATGCGACAGGAAGTGGCGCGCCGAGGTAGCAATTGGGTCGCTCCGGAATTCGGCTATATGAGCAGCGCGCAGGCCCTCACCGGCTCAACAAATGGACGAGGAGGAGCATCAGGTTCTCGGGGTCAAAATTGAGGTCGTTAAGAAGGCCGGTGAGGAACACCTAGAAGCAAGATTTCGACAGGTGGAATACCCGGCGGCTGTGGAATGGAACAAGCAGGTGACACTCCCGTCGGAGAGATGCCCGCGACAAAAGGCGCAGTACTACGAGTTCCTTCAACACTGATTCCCAGCTGCGCGGAGAGAGACTTTGCGATAAGGCTGTCAATTACTTTGACCACACCGGCCGGTTCTTCCCTACTCGGCTAGACGAAGAAAGATCAGGCTACGCGGTCAGCTTCTGAATAATGGTGCATGGGTATCTCTACATGTTCGAACGTGGGACAGCATTGAGCGAAACAATCGGATATTCGACGAACTGCAAAAGGCCAAGCCTGAGATCGAAGAGTCCCTCGACGCCGAATGGGTATGGCACAGATTCGGACCTTACTCTTTCTTCACCATAAGCATTAGAAAGACAGCTCGATAGACGACTCGTCGGAGAAGCTTGAAGAGACCAGGGGCTGGATGCTAGATCAACTCCCAAAGTTGAAGAAAGTCCTCGATCCGCACTGGAGCGGGTCTTGAAGGAGTTGCAACCCGAAGGGGCGGACGACTGAAACAACGCGAGGAGGAGAGGGAAGACGCAACAGGGACGGCGCACGCATGAATGAACCACAAGACCCTATACTCGTCGCCCTTTACGCAAGGGTTTCCAGCGAGCGGCAGGACGTAGATATTTCCGTGTCGGCTCAGCTACGGGTGCTCAGCGACTACGCCCGGAAGAACGGCTACGCTGTCGCACGGGAGTACGTGGACGAAGCCGAGGGTGGCCGCGTCCCCGCCCGGCCGGAGTCCCGAAGGACGATCGAGGAGGCCGGATGTACCGACACTCCCTTCCGTGAGTTTCTCAAGGCTAGATAGGAGTCGCCAACCGTGACAGTGCATATCGGGCCCGAGAGACAGCTTTTCCTTGATGATCTCCTCATCGAGAGCCTCGGCGGACTTGAGATTGTGATGCAGCGGCCTGTCAAACCGGACGCGCCGGGAGGGGACAGAGCCGTGGGAAAGAGGGAGTGGCCAGCATATATCGGCAATTCTCTGCACTACGACGAGGAAGACGGTCTGTTCAAGGCGTGGTACGACACGCCGAGAGGGGTCGCATACGCCACGTCGCAGGACGGCGTCCACTGGGAGAAGCCGAGTCTGGGGATTCGAGAGTATGAGGGATCGACCGACAACAACCTGATCAGTCCCGGGCGGAACTTCAGCGTCATCAAGGACGCGAGGGACGATGACCCGTCGAAGCGGTACAAGGCCATGTACTGGCACTCACTGCGTGGTTCCAACGCGCCCTGGGGCGGCAAGGGGCACTTCGTGGCGTACTCTCCCGATGGGGGGCATTGGACTCCCGACGAGCGGAATCCGGTCATCGATTTTCGCAACGGGCTGACGGACGGACAGTTCGTGCTGGGCTGGGACTCCGATCACGATAAGTACGTGGCTTACATGCGGCCCAACACCTACTTCTTCGATCCCGACAGGAGGACATCGGCCTGGATCGCTAGCGACGACTTCGTCAACTGGGGCCCGCCGGTCTTGGCCGTGGAGCCGGAGGAAACTGACGAGGTCGAGATCGAGTACTACCGCATGACCGTGGCGAAGTATGAGGGAGTCTACTTCGGCTTCATCTGGGTCTACCACAACGACGTGGTGGAGTTCGCGGACCAGTCGCGCGACTCGATTCTGGCCGCGAGCCGAAACGGGATCAGCTGGAGCAAGCCGTTCGGGAGCGAGACCTTCCTTCCAACAGGAGAGCCCGGTGACTGGGACTCGAGGTGGGGCGGCCCCTGCAACCTGATCCCGGTCGGGGACGAGCTTTGGCTATACTACTCGGGGCGAACATCCCACACAACGTCAAGGCCGAGGATGGCGGACGTGGTTCCGTTAAAGACTGGCCCGGCAGGGTGATCGACGGGGAGCGCCGGGCGTACGGCGTTGGTGTAGCAAAGCTGCGACGCGACGGTTTCGCGCCGGTTAGACCGAAGTCGGGCGAGGGTGCGCTGACGACCGAGCCGCTGACGTTCCTCGGCACGACGCTCCACCTGAATGTCGAGAGCTCACGGGGCAGGGTCGAGGTGGAAGTGCTCGACCAGAGAGGCGAACCGGTCGAAGGCTACTCACGCGCGGACTGTGTGCCCATCTCGACCGACTCGACGGACCACACGGTGAAGTGGAGCGGCGACAGAGACCTCGTCCATGCCACCGACACGCCTGCCGACATAGGGGGCGAGACAAGGGCCTTCAGGTCGAGGCTCAGGAAGCCGGTGAGGCTAAGGTTCAACCTGAAGGACGCGAGTCTGTACTCGTTTTGGGTGGATTGAAGGCCGGGGTGGCACCTGGCGGCTTACGGCTAGGGGGTGGAGGGCACCTCCAACGCTTTGCGTAGCTGCTTTGGGCGCCGTTTCTCTATCTAGGGTGGTACAATCTCGACACTGCTAAGCCATGCACGCACTACGACATGCTAACTAGCATACCGGTACGGAAATTCAAGCAATCGAGAGAACGTCACCGTCGCTGGACGACGTAGTAGTGTTCGTTGGCCCCAACGATTCAGGGCAGCACCACAGCTTTGCAGGCCCTGTCGTTGTGGGAACTAGGACTACGACGATGGCATGAACGCTGGGGTATGGTCCCGACCAGCGATATGCAGCGGCCAGGAGTATCCATCAACCGACTGGACCTGTTCTCCGTTCCGGTCACATCATGCCAAGCAGATTGGCGGGTCTGCGAACCCGGGAAGCTAAGGCCAAATCCCGGAACCAGCAAGTCCTCTAGAAATAGAAGTGCCCACGGGAGAACTACGTCCGGCAAGGTATGGTCCTGCGGGTGTTTGAGTTGACTACGCCAACCCAGAGTCGTGCTATTGCGTCCTCTACGAACCAACCTGTGACGGACAGTCCCGAGATGCGCGTACCTGTCGAGGCGTAATTTTTTAGAAGAGAATAAATTGCCTTTTTGCCCCAATGTGCGGTTTGTCATCTTTGGAGGCGATGCTGCAGCCAGGACACCGGTGACGTTCTATTGGACAGGGACGAAACCGCATGAAGTTCTTCCAACCTCTGTTTCCAAGCCAAGTATTCCTCATCAACGTGTAGGGTGGTAGAGTGTATTGTACCGAGGATGAACCAGTTGTTTGGCGCTACGATCTCGACCCTCAGTACAACCCGGCAGCGCGCGAGATCACACTGCGTACAAAGACATACCGTATGTCGAACCTAGAACTCGATCTAGCCTCGTCGGGCGGGCTTTCAGCAGACGTTACTTTGACGGCGTACATGCTGCTGCAACCCCAACTCGGTAATCATGCTGGATAGAACCTGATGTGCTCATCTGGAAATCCTACGACAAAGCAAATCTACCGAGCGATTACCGAACCGCCGCCCAACAAAACAGCCAATTGCTGATTGCCACCCATTCCGAAGTCGTGCTAAACGAGGCCGGTGACCGCCACACGGTGACCGCTTTCGTCGGCACTCCTCATCGGATGGATGGTCGGAGTAGTCAGGTCTTCAAGGCGTTGGCGGAAATAGGATTCGAGAACTATCTCCAGGCCGCGCAGCAAGGTGGGTGTTGTACCTGGAAGGCTCCACCGATTTGGCGGTATTGCATGCCTTCGCCCGTCAGATCGGACATCAGGCAGAAACCGTCTTGGACCGTCCGTTTGTCCATTACGTAGGTAACCAGCCCATGCGGGCCCGCCAACACTTCTACGGGTTGAGAGAGGCGTGTCCCGATCTCCTTGGATTTGCCTTATTCGACCGTCTAAACCTACCGGGAGAAGCCAACGACGTATTGAGAGAGTACAGTTGGCTGAAGCGAGAAATTGAAAACTACTTGTGCAGCAAGGACCTATTGCTACGTTGGGTCAAGGAGGAGTTCCCGCTTTTCCTTCAAAGTATGGAAGATGCTATCGCCGAAGTTGAAAGTGCTCGGCGGATACTGGGCCAGACTTCGCCCTGGGACGGTGATACAAAAGTGTCAGAGGATTTTTCTTGGTGCCATTGTTCGATCCTTCTAATGAGAATGGTGTTGTTTTTTGGTGTGGTTTGTTTGTGTTGGGGTTGTTTTGTTGTGTTTTTGGTTTTGTTGTTTGGTTGTTTGTGGTTTGTTTTTTTTTTTTTTTTTGTTTTGTTTTTTGTTTTTTTGTGTGGTTGTTGTTGTTGTTTTTTTTTTTTTTTTTTTTGTGTTTGTTTTGTTTGTTGTTGTGTGTTTTGTTTTGTTTTGTGTTGTGGTTGTTTGTTGTTTTTTTTTTTTTTTTTTGTTTTTGTTTTTTTTTGGTTTTGTTTTGGTGTTTGTTTGTTTTTTTTTTTTTGTGTTTTGGTTTTTTTGGGTTTTGGGGGGTGGGTGTTGTTTTGTTGTTTGTGGTTTTTGTGTTTGTTTTTGGGTGTTTTTTTTGGTGTTTGGTTTTGTTTGGTGTTTGGGTTGTTGGGGGGTGTGTGTTTTTTTTTGTTTTTTGTGTGGTGTTGTGGAACGGGAATGTTGGTCAAGTCTCAAAATCCGACTACCACTTTCTCGTTGCATACATGGAACCTGGAGACGTCGATGCCGAAGTTAGTCGTGACGGAGTGCTTGATCATCGTAAGTGTGGCCAATGCAGCACGCACCACGTCACTGAAGTGGTCGTCAGTCGCAATAGCCTCAAGTTTTATACTCGACGAAAAGAGTCGTCAAAAATGCGAGTGATGGTGATAAATTCCCCTCGACAACAGGTCGAGGTTGTCGACACAACTCGACACTGCTAGATTTACACGACGCTAGCAGTCTAGGGATCGGGTCTTCTTATACGAGTCGTGACTGATTCATGTATCTCCGTATTTTCCGCAGCCCATTCGCAGTGTCAGAACGAGCCACTACACGTAGCTGCTTTGGCCTCCGTCGGCGACGATGCAGGCGCCGGTGATGAGGTCGGCGCGTTCGGATGCGAGGAAGGCGGTTAGGTCGCCGACGGGTTCGGGCCAGCCAACTTGACGAGGGGCAGGTTGCGGTCGATGAAGTCGGCTACGACATCGGGCGGATTCTCGTTTTGGAATCTCTCCCACGAGCCTTGTTCGTGGAGGATGGAGCCGGGGGCGATGCTGTTGACGAGAACGCCGTCGTGACGAGGGTGCGGGCAACGTGTTTCGTGGCGGCGATCAGGGCGGCCTTCGCGGTCATGTAGCCGAGGTTTCCTCCGAACTCCCTGCCGTAGATGGATGCGATGTTGATGATGCGTCCCCACTTCTGCTCGCGCATGTGGGGTATGACCAGCCGCATGAGGGCGTAGCCGCCGAAGACGTTGAGGTCGAAGACGCCCCTCAGCTCGTCCACGGTAATGTCGGGGGCGTCGGTGCGGACGAGACTGCCGCCGACGTTGTTGACGAGGATGTCGACGGGGCCCAACTGGTCGACGACCTGGCCGTGGAGAGGGGCGGCCTGATCGGTGTCGGACACGTCGGCCACTATGCCGACGGCCTCGACTCCGAGCGCTTGGAGCTCGGCAGTGGTGGCGTCGAGGGTTTCACGCGAGCGTCCGCAGATGGCGACGTTCACGCCTTCGCGCGCCAGTGACAGCGCGCAGTGCTTGCCGAGTCCTCTGCTTCCGCCGGTGACGAGTGCGATCCTGCCAGCGATACCAAGATCCATGGAGAGTGCTCCTGATGGGGGGTACACCCCCTTCTTTATATCTCCCCGAAGGGGAGAGACGATGGACAGGGGTGTCCCGATTCGGGGGTACAGTATAGCAGGACGGTTTTCGCAGGGGGCGATGTCGCATTCGCGGTCGAATTCGTGGATAATGGGGCATCCGAAATGAACCGTTGAGGGGGAGGTCCTACCATGGTTATGGGGAAGGCGGCGCTCTTCGTCGAGCCGTACCACTTCGAGATCACTGAATTGCCGGCGGTGCAGTCGAAGCGGGGGCAACAATCCGCGCTCAAGATAAAGACGAAGGCATCTGCGGTTCGACTGCACTTTCTGTGTTTGTATGTCGTGTTTTGTGGCGTGTGAGATCAGCCGATAGGGCGGTGCGCGCCGGCCGCGGTATTCTTGGTCACGAGATGGCGCGTGGTCGGACGCTATGGTCGGACATGTTCGACCAGACTCGATGGGGCGACGCTGAAGAGACCGCGTCGTCTCGTATTCTGCTATTTCTCCCCTGTCATCGCTGCTACAACCATGTCTGCGCGGGAGTTGAAACACATGCCAGGACCGTTTCTCGTTCCGCGCATCGGCGAGGAGTACCCGTACTGCAACGAGCGGCTCTCGGACTACTACTACCTCTTCCGGACACTACGTGTTCAAGGTGCCGGACGAGCTGTCGGACGAGGCGCTGTCGCGCGGGCGTCTGAACTGCGCGGTTAGTCGCAGTGTGATCGAGGGGGACGGGATGGCGGCTCGCCAATCTGCAGATGGGCGCCAGCGTGGTCGTCAGGGGGCGGGCAGGGCCTTGGGATCAGCGGGCGGCTAGCGGCCAAGGACCGCGGCGACTTCGCAGTCATCGTGATCGACGGACAGGCGGGCGTCGAGGAGCTGCCGTCAGAGCAGGCGCGGACCATACCAGCGACTCTGGAACGAGTACGGACACGCGGAGGGCCAGGTCGGAGCGCGATGAAGAGCGACGGACAGGAGACGGGGCGCGAAGTGGTGATGGACAGTCGTCGCTCTCGCAGGTGAATCAACGGAGGGCATCGACATGGTGCGCGCGGCGGAGCGTACGTCGAGATCGGCAACATCTGGCCCGACAGGCAGGTAAGCTGGACATCTCCAAGTGCTCTGGGGTCAGGTGAGGACTCATTCCCGTGACGCACTACCACCCACGTCGACGCTTCCCGTGGCGCTCGATGTTCCTCGAGCGGACGAAGGACGGTTCCCGCTGACGAACACGTCATGTCGCACAGCTACACCGATTGAAGATATACGGGAAGGCGTGTTCGAGCAGTGCGAGTGGCTGGGCAAGGAAGAGGGCACACCGCGATCACGAGGCGTTCATTACTCCGTAGCGCAACGCCGCATCGTACGCTAGAGGACAGCACGAGGCGAATCAGGAGGCTGCTTCTTGAGAGAGACCCCAGACGAAACCCCGTTATCCGAGCAAGAGGTATCGCTACCCACTGCAAGGCGGACGCCCACGGCAGGCGAGGCGGGGCGGAACCGACAGCGAGCGCTGGACCGTGTGATAGCCGCGTGTGGCGCTCGTCACTCGTTGTCGGGTCGGTGCATACAAAACTTCATGCTTCGCGAAAGCTCTCCGACGATAGCCACCTGCCGAGCGGGCCAGCGGTGGAGTCGTCACGCGGGCGTCCTGAGGTTGAGGCCAGGCGGAAGTGTGTCGCGCCGAGAGATC